TTTCTTATATTTTGTTGATGATTTGTGCATCCATGTTCATCATTTTCTTTTCTTATATACTTGTCTGACTTTGTTATCATGGTAATGCTAGCCTCTTAAAATGAATTTGGAAATATTTCTCTCCAATGTTTTTGGAAGAGTTTAAGAAAGATTGACACTTAATTCTTCTTAAGTGTTTGGTAGAAATCACAAGTGAAGCCAACTAGCCTGGGATTTTCTTTCTTAGTATACTTTAGAATACTGATTAAATCTCATTACTAGTAATAAGTCTATTCATATTCTCTGTTTCTTCATGATTTAGTCTTGGTAGATGGTATGTTTCTAGGAACTTACTCTTTTCTTCTGGGTTATCCAATTTGTTGGTATATTGTTATTCATAGTAGTCTGTCATGATCTTATATTTCTGTAGTATCAGTTGTAATGCCTCCTTTCATCTCTTATTTCACTTATTTGAATTTCTTTTTTTCTTAGTCTAGCTAAAAGTTTGTCAGTTTCACCTTTCCAAAAAAACAAGCTCTTAGTTTTGTTGATCTTTCCTGTTGTTTTTCTAGTCTGCTTCATTTATTTCTATTCTGATCTTTGTTATTTTCTTCCTTCTGCTAACTATGGAGTTAATTTGTTCTTCTTTTTCTAGTTTCTTGAGATGTAAAGTTAGGTTGTTTGTCATTTTTCTTTTTTTATGTGAGTGTTTATAATTTTTATTTACAATGAAACAGTATCATGAATTATTATTAATATGGCTTTGAAAATCTTTATCATTTGATAAAAATGGTAGTAGTTAATAGAAAAAAGTTTTCTTTACTCATTTATTGCTGCCAATTGGTGGGAAAAAATTATGAAGTCTTTCATTTTGTTGAGAATTTTTCAGATAAAGAGCAATAGAATTCAGCATGATCAAGACACATGTTCATCATTTTGTTTGGCAGGCCCTTCATTCAGTTAGCCTTCACATATAATTCTAATGGAAACTTGCATTGTAAACGTCACTTTAGGCTGTTCAAATTAGCAAAGATATCAGTAAGGTATTCTAATTTTCAAATCTATTCATAAAAACAATTTTCAAGGTTATAGGTTCCTTCCAGAAAGATTTAGAGTTCTATCAGCTCAGGTGGAAGAGTGAGGGCCCTCCTACATGGAAGCTAGTGATCTTTAGTGGTTTTCATTGCCTCCACTCATTGCCTTTACTTGAAAAGTAAAAATCTGAGACTTGGGAGCACTTTGAATGATGTGATTGAAATTTGAAAGGCATCATTTAAATGCTCCTTTTCAGTTTCCAAGTGTGTGCTCAGAGTTTTATTGCTGATGCATCTAAACAGTGACTAGATTATGCTTTCAGGGCAACCATCTTAATATTATATAGTACTCAACAATTGTCAGCTCCTTGAAGTAATATTTCAATTTAGCACTGAAAAAAGATGCAAGAATGGACTTGAAAATTGAGTATGTAAGAAAACATATTAGTGAACAGCATCATCCACCTTACATATCAGTGAACAGTTCCAGAGGACATTCAGTCATGGAGCTTCACAACAGTCATGGGCAGGCCTGAATCTTCTCCTGTGATTCATACGGTGTGCAGATTACTACAGCTCTGCCTGCTTTAGCCTCATCCTAAAAAGTCACATCCAGAAAATCCCAGTTGTGATATGCTAGTTTTATTTTTCCTGGTACACATTAAAATAAAATAAGTGCATGGCTATTAAATAAAAATGTTTTTGTACCACTTATCTAAAATTACTCATTTATCACCAGAAGTACATATACTACACTAAGGAAACTTGCCTGCAGTATCCCTTGTAGCAAACTAAATTTTTAGAGAACCAAAAAAACCTTTTCAAGCTTAACCTTGGCATATTTTCTCTGCCATTCTCCCCAGGTATTTTTAAATAACTGAATGAAAGTGGATTTTATTAACAGTGTAAAATATACCTTAAAATCATCCTTGCTTTCTAGAAACATGCATTGAGAGTATAATTCAAGTGAAAGGAAAATTAGTCTTCATCATTTTCTTCTGTTCATATTTGTTCTGAACTTATGTACTTATCTATTTTAGCATTTGCATTTATTTAAGAGATTTATTGAGTGTTTGATATATTCTAGTAATTAGTACAGCACTGAGAATAAAGGGTAAACAAAACAAAAAAATCCAGTCCTTATGAAGCTCACATTCTAGTGTGAGGAGATAGACTGTAAGTAAAATAATAAGTAAAATATAGTTTTAGATGGTGATGACATTTGAAGAGAAATAAAGTGAGAAAGGCAGATGGAGTTCAGTGTGCTCAGAGAAGGTCTTGCTGGGATATAATATTTGAGCAAAGATCTGCTAGAAGTGAAGGAAGGAATGTGGAGTTAATTTGAAGAAGTGTACTTCAGGTAGACAAAACAGTACAGGGCAGGGAAGGGGGAGAAAAAAGAAACAGTAAGGAGGCCAGTGTGGGAGGAGCAAGGCAAACAAGGGGAGAATAGTGGGACATGAAATCAGAAGGGCACGAGGTCAGAGAAGTAACTGCAGTAAGGGATGGTGGACAATTGTGCAAGATTCCATACAGCTTTTAGCTCTTCTAATGACTGAGATAAGAAGCCACTGGAGAGTTTTAAGTAGAGGAGTGACAATGATTTGACTCCATGGATTCTGGCCTAAGCAACTAGAAAGGTTGGGTAAAGTGCCCATAAGTTAAGGTGGTATAAACTTGAAGAAGAAAATACTTTTCAAAGGAATTAGTAATTTGTTTGGGAACATGTTAAGTTCAGAATATCTACTAGGCATCCAGACAGAGATGCTGAATAGATGTTGGTCATATCAGTCTGAAATTCAGGAGAGAGATACAGGTAGGATATAAAAATTTGAGTGTCACTTGCAAATAGATGGAACTTAAAGCCACATGTGTGGGTGAGATAACCAAGCAAGTACATATAGCTTAGAGGTAGAAAAGGGAAGAAGTGCTAGGACTGAGTCCAGAACTTTCCAATATGGAGATATCAGGAAAAATAAACCTGTCCTTTAGAAGGCTACCAGGAAATTAATTTATTTATGATTAGTAAAATAATTAACTGTATATATTACAAAGCTAAAGAATCTTGAAGCTCAAATAGACTTTAACCTAAAAGATGATTGTTGTTCCAGAGGGAAGGTTATTCCTGGTCTGATATGAATCCCCTAGGAAATCGGTGAAACTGAAATGAATCAAGGGGAAGAGTTGGTTGGGAGAAAGGCTTTTTATTGCTCACAGCTTGCTTGAATCTGCTAGCTCGGACCAGCCCTGTCCATCTCCTCCAGCTGCAGCTCATGCTTTGCCCACATGGCATGCTCTCTACTTCCTGCCTACCCCTTCTGGGAGGAACCCTGTGCATGGGTCCCTGGTGACTGACTGGCTGGTGCCAGACCAATTATGCACTAGAGGGGAGGAGAGAATGACCATCTTCTCTCAGCCCCTTGCCCTGGATGCTGCAGGAGGCTGCAGCAGTAAACACCTATTGGTATGTGAATGGACTAAGGCTAGGCAGGAAATTCTGGAAATTCTGCAATTTACCCCACAATAATCAAATTCAACTTGTTTGCCTTTTAGTAAAAAATACTTTGACCTTTAAAAACTTAGCTGACTGAGTCATTCGTCCAATTTTGATTTACAGGTTTAATTTCAGTAAATGATAGGCAATGATTGAAATATGAACCTCCAGTATAAAGTAGGTAGATTAAGTAGAGCTTGCTTGGACAAAAGGTGGGATCTAGTTTTAACTCAGGTTGGGATAGTGGACCACTCAATTCCACAAATAACTATTGAGTGCCCATTATATGTAATATACTTGAAAGGAAATAGAAGTTTGAATAAGACACTGTCTTTTTCTTAAGAAAGGTTTCAACAGAAAAATGATGAGATAAGTAAAATGTGTTTAGAGCCACAGAGAGGCAGAAACACCTCATGGAAGTTCAAGCTAAAGAAAGTAATTCTCCATTGGTAACATCTTAGAGGCTTCATAGAGGTCATGGCATTTAAAATAGCCCCTAAAATATAGGGATGGGATTTTGACAGAGAGAAAGTATAGTGTGGGCAAAGGCTCTGGGGAAAGAAATCTCAGGAGAATCTTTCACTTGTGGGTGTTCATGTCCCAAAAACATTGTTATTGTCATACATAAATGTGTTTCATTTTTTTTCTCCTGAAGTAAAGAAGCAGAGACTGCATAAATAATCATTAGTTTGAGTCTATTAAGAAAATATGTGATTTGTACACCCAGATTCATTGCAACATTATTCACAGTAACCAAGAGGTAAAAGCAATCTAAATATCAACTGATGGATGAATGGATAAAGAAAGTGTAGTATACACATATACGGATTATTGTGCAGCCCTAAAAAGAAAGAAATTCTGTTGTATGTTATAAATGGAAAAACTTAAACACTTTATGCTAAGTAAAATAAGCTTATCACAAAATGGCAGATAGCACATTATTCTACTTGTAGGTGTTAACTAAGTAGTTAAACTCATAGAAACAGAAGTGGAATGGCGTTTGTCAGGTGTAGGGAGTAGAAAAGAGCACTAGCTGTTCAACACATATACCGTTTCAGTTTTGCACATGATAAATATCTAGAGATCTGACAACAATGTGCACACAGTTAACACTACTGTACTGTACACTTAAAAATGGTTAAGATGGTAAATTTTATGTTATATATTTTTTTACCATAGTAAAAAAAAAAGAAGAAATGTGTATGTGCCAATACTCGTTCAATTGTAAGTAACTAAAGGCAACCCAAATAGCTTAGTCAATAAAAGGAGACTTTATTGGTTCAGGGAACCTAAGAAAGGGTAAAGATGCAGTGGGACCTTAACAAAAACTGCAACCAGAGACTCTAAAAAGCCCCCAGGTGTTGCTCACTGCCTCCTGACTCATTTTTCTTTCTTACTGCAAATCTGCTTTCGCCACAGGGTGATCACCATGGCTGATGATAATATCCAGGTTTTATACCTGAGACTTTCTGCCACAGAGAGTGCCTGCCAATGTTCTCCTTCCAAGTTCAGAATATTGAGAAGGGACAGCATCTGGATCAAATGATGACAGGATCTTACAAGAAGATATTTCAAGGGGCTAGATCTTGGTAAGTCCTGTAGGAACCATATAACTGGGAGTGGGTGGTGTGGGAGATACATCAGTTAGCCATTACCACTTTAATGCTGTGTAATAAAGCACCCCAAACTAGTGGTTTAAAACAACTGTGTAATAAACCCCAAACTGATGGTTTAAAACAACTATCATTTATTTCCATGGACCTGCAGATTGATTGTGGCAGCTGTCCCCCAGGCTGTGGTGACTGGGGTGGCTTTATTCCACACACTGGTCATCCTCCTCTTAAGGCCAAGAAGCTAGCCAGGGCACATGAAAGGCCTCTGAGATTTAGGTTCAGAACCATCCTGACCCTGCCCACTCCTAACCACATGCAAGTCACCTGGATAAACACTAAGTCCAGGGGCAGAGAAATACTTTCTACCCACAGTAAAGCCATGGTCAGAGTGGGATACAGATGAGGAGGAAGATTGGGGCTAAATCATTTAATCTACCACAGTGGGTGAATGTGAGAAATAGTTCCCAGAGGAAGACTGGATGTTGAGCAATTAATACAATAAATATCCACTCTAGTATAGTTCCATAGATACAAATGATAAAATTAAGTATTAGATTTTATTAATCCCAAAACACTGAAGTAAAGAGCAGTTGGAAGATAACTAGTTAGTCCTTACAATGCAGCAAGCACTGCACTAAGATTTTTGTAGATACCATCTCAAAGGAGAAGCAATAAAAGCTATTATTAATCAAAAATAATGTCACTTTGCCCATAAATTCTCAGGTTTTAAAGAAAGTGTCATTGAGGATTCCAAATTAATCTCTCTTTTATCAGTTGCTGCTTCTTTAAGAGTAGATCATGCCATTGACTTTCTAATCTTTATGTCTGTGAAATAAAGGAACCAGGGTGAACAGTGGGAAAGAGAAATATTCTAGGGCCAAGGAGACTTGAGTTTAAATTCTAGCTGGGTCCTGTACCAGTTGAATGGCCTTAGACAAATCACAAACCCATTTTACCATCAATTTTCTCTACGCATTTGTGTATAAAAATACATACCATACGAGACTTGGGGGAGAAATGAATGACAGTATGTCTACAAAATGTAAATCACAGTGTCTGGCACATAATTATTCAACAAATGTTAGTTTCTTGGTTAGGGGAGTAACAAATGGAATAAGGCAAAATTCTTATATTGAGTTTAATGCTTTGACCCTCTCCACACTAAAATCTAATAGCATTACAGAATGGAAAAATTCTCAAATAAATGGAGTACAAGTTTACATAGAAAAACAAAGTAAAACATTGAAGTCATTAACATTGTACTTGAAGCCAAAATTTTATTGAAAAAAAGAGTTGTTGTTTGTTTTGTCAACTCTTTCTCTCAGGAAAATCTTCTGTCAACCTAACTGTGAGAGTTTCCATTTCATGTTTCAGTTATTGTGGAGCTCACATAGTTTATTGTTAAATTCTGTTAGAGTACAGTGGCTTAAACACTGAGGAACTTAACATATCTTTCCCATTCACAAGTTGCAAAAACATGATTCAATTATTTTAATCCAGGAGAGATGTTAACTTTATAGTCAGTAGCCAACTGACTTTCTCTATTAAGGTATTTCTTCTATATGCCTCCTTTTCTTCAGTATTGGGAAATCAAAGTATTCATACTTAAAAGCATATTTTAAAAGGCAATTTATAGTATAAATTAGGTGGTCAAATTTCTACTTTTTCATTTGATAAAGTAAATCTTAGATGATGAATTTAATTAATTTGTGTTCTTTAGACACCGTTACACTTTGCACATTTCATAAATGGTTCTTGTTATGGCTTCGTTTATAAGAACCTTTATATTTTGCTGAGATTTCCTTCTTAAGCTAATACTACTTAGTTGCATGCTTTGTTTATGTTTCACTCTAAAACCAATAGAAAACTTCATTAAATCCAGAACATAGTAGCTTCAGTACTAAAGAACTCTCAGAGTTTCATTACTTCAGAATATATCACATATCTTTTTTATATCATGTGTGGCAAGATTATAAATATATTCATTTTTAAACCAAAATTTCAAACTGAAGTTTCAAGAGAAATAGTATAAAGGTGAGCAACTTTTAAAATTGTCATTTTACTCCTACAAAACTCATGTTTTCTATACATTTGTCCCATTACAAAATCTCTGAAAATCTGATTTCCTTTTCTTGAGTAATTTGTTAACCTCATTAGATCATGATAACCACAAGTTATATATAGCACATTGGTTTCTTATTAGATACTCTTTAAATTTACTGCAACTTTAGCTCTTTTTATTTCAAGTCATTTTTTCCCATTATGAATATAAGGTAGTAACTTAGAAACAAGAAAAAATATTTTTATCATTTTGACCTACTTGTATTTGCAATAGTCAGAATTTTTTTTACTGTAAATGATAGAAATTCAAACTCAAACTATCTAACTAAAAAAATGAAAATTAATGGGAAAAATGGGTTCTGTTAGAGAACTGATAGAATTTTTATAGTAAGCACGTAACTTTAGTTTATCTCAGAGGAGAAACTTTCAACTTGATATGATCAGAACTTACTCTCCTACACACCATTCTTCTTCATCGGCTTAATTATTGTAGGCTTCATGCTCGGCAAATATTTTCCACATAGAAGCCTAGATTGCAACCTTATTCTATGCTTTGAGAAAGGAGTCTTTTCCTAAAAAAATCTCAGAGGATCCTGATTGCCCTATCTTGGGACCTGTACTCATCCTTTAGAACAATCCTTATTTCTAGAGAGATGAGGTACTGTGATCGACCAGAACAGGGTTGTGCTCCCATCTCTATGGGCCATGGTGACGGCTGTATTATAATCGACAGTCCAACTACAGCTAATTGGAAAGGAGGAAAGGCAATTTCCCCAAGGAGAAGGATAGCTATTAGCAAATGGAGGTGGGGAAAGGAGAGGTATTCTGCACTGATTAAAAATAAATACAAAAATAAATGTATTTAGTCTTAATTCACTAGGCATATTGAACCTCTTGGTTTCAGGCTTCTCAGGACATGTCTGAAGGTCAGGTGGGGTTTGTTTCCTGGAGGATCAGGTTTCATAAAGGATCTTACACCTCTCTGGAAAGATTTCAGTCTGGGAAGGGAATGTCATGGCACAGAAGTATAGCATAAAGACAATGAGCCAGGATAAAGGAAGAGAAGTGATTATGAATGTAGCACTGTTTCTGTCTATCACTCAGATTACTTATTGGCCCAGCCCCCTGGATTTGTGCCTGAGACCCAGAGTGAAAGGGGGTGAAATAAAAATGTGAGTAAACCTGAAGGGCTGTTTCACAGTGGTATCTATGTGACACTGAAGTGCAAGTGATCAGCAGCATTCATGACAACAACTTCCTTAGTGACCTGAGACCACACCCCAGTGTAGACAGCTGCACTCTCAACGTTAAGTACCAGCATCATTAGCATAGACATTGGCAGGCACTGGTATCGGTGACAAAGACTTGGAAGGCAGCAGAATTGTCACTTTGTCATTGCATGCATAGGGAACATGATCACATAAGCCAGAATAGGAGAAAAGATGTTGACTGGGCTAAGCTAAGAGGTGCTTCTGTCCCACATATTGATGGGGGTTATAGTCATCTGTGGCTCAATGGGTCTGGAATCCCCAAGATAATTCATTCACATGGCTCACCGCTTGTTCTGGCTGGAATCTGGGAAATCAGCTAGGACTGTTAACCAGAGACCACAGTTTTCTTCCCCATATCTTCCCTATTGCTTGGGATGCTCATAACATGTTGGCTGGTTTGTAAGAGGCAATCAACGAAGCAGGGAAATTGGAAACAGCAAATATCTTTTTTTAATTAAGGTATTATTGATATACACTCTTACGAAGTTTTCACATGAAAAAACAATGTGTTACTACATTTACCCATATTATCAAGTCCCCACCCATACCCCATTGCAGTCACTGTCTGTCAGTGTAGTAAGATGCCATAGATTCACTATTTGCCTTCTCTGCTACACTGTTTTCCCCACACCATGTGTACTAAACATAATAACCTTCAATCCCCTTTTTCCTCCGCCCTCTCCCTCCCCACTCACCTTCCCACATCCCTCCCCTTTGGTAACCACTGTTCCTTCTTGGAGTCTGTGAATCTGCTGCTGTTTCAGTTTTGCTTCGTTGTTACACTCCACAAATGAGAGAAACCATTTCACACTTGTCTTTCTCTGTCTGGCTTATTTCACTGAGCATAACACCCTCCAGCTCCATCCATGTTGTTGCAAATGGTAGGATTTGTTTCTTTCTTATGGCTGAATAGTATTCCATTGTGTATATGTGCCACATCTTTATCCATTCATCTACTGATGGACACTTAGGTTTCTTCCGTTTCTTGGCTATTGTAAATAGTGCTGCAATAAACATAGGGGTGCACATGTCTTTTTAATCTGAGAAGTTGTATTCTTTGGGTAAATTCCAAGGAGTGGGATTCCCAGGTCAAATGGTATTTCTATTCTTAGTTTTTTGAGGAATTTGCATATTGCTTTCCACAATTGTTGAACATTCCCACCAGCAGTGTTGGAGGGTTCCCCTTTCTCCGCATCCTTGCCAGCATTTGTTGATCTTAGTCTTTTCGATGCTGGCCATCCTTACTGGTGTGAGGTGATATCTCACTGTGGTTTTAATTTGCATTTCTCTGATGATTAGTAATGTGGAGCATCTTTTCATGTGTCTCTTGGCCATCTGAATTTCCTCTGTGGAGAATTGTCTCTTCAAATCCTCCACCCATTTTTTAATGAGGTTATTTGCTTTTTGGGTGTTGAGACATGTGAGCTCTTTATATATTTTGGATGGTAACCCATTGCCAGATATGTCATTTACAAATATATTCTCCCATACTGTAGGATGCCTTTTTGTTCTGCTAATGGTGTCCTTTGCCATACAGAAACTTTTTAGTTTGATGTGGTCCCATGTGTTCATTTTTGCTTTTGTTTCCCTTGCTCGAGGAGATGCGTTCAGAAGGAAGTTGCTCATGCTTACATTCAGTAGATT